GAATACAGTCAAGCCCTTTCCAGCACGCGCGATCCGCCGCCGCCGCTTTGCACCTTGCAAATGCAAAATCCCGGGGTTTTTGCATTTGCAAGGTGCAAAGCGGCAGCGGCGGATCGGGCGTGCTGGAAAGGGCTTGACTGTATTCCAGGGGGAGAGAGAGAGAGAGAGAGAGAGAGAGATCATAAGAACGGCTCTTGCTTTTTTCTTGCAAGGGAGAGAGTGACTCCTGCCTCCCACTGTCATCATCATCATCCTCTTTTGGGTTAGTGAATCAATTAATTTGGGAAACCATCTCACTATCATGAAAGTCAGTGTTCTCTGCCCGTGGGGCGTTGGAAGAAAACGGCCCGCGGCATATCCACGCGCGTGTAAGGGGAATCAGAAATCCCCGTGTTCAACACCTAGCACGGCAGAAGAGAAAACGCAGCTGTGAGCAAATACTGGGAAAACCTGGTTGATCAGAAGGAAGGAGGCAAAAGAGGGAGGGGTGGTGGTGGACGGAGGTCCCACTGGTATTTGTGAAACACTCGGTTGGCAGCGCTTAAAGTCAACGTCCTCTCTCCCACCCACCCACCCACTCAAAGCCACAAAGTCCCCCAATCGCGCAGCCCAGAATTGCCCTCCCCTCAGGGGGCAGCAACGACGCCCGGCGTTTCCCGAGACAAGAAGCTCCGCCGTGCAATGAAAGCGCCCTGGCTCTAGGCTTGCGGGCTCAAAAAACAACGCGAGCCGAGGTGGCTTCGGCTCCGCTTGGCTTCGTTTCCTCAGCTCCAGCTGCTTCCAGTCCACTCAGGAGGAGGAGGAGGAGGTGGTGGTGGCAGCTCGCATTGTTTTCTGAGCCCGCGAGCCTAGAGCCAGGGCGCTTTCATTGCACGGTGGAGCTTCTTGTCTCGGGAAACGCCGGGCATCGTTGCTGCCCCGAGGGGAGGGCGATTCTGGGCTGCGCAATTGGGGGACTTCGTGGCTTTGGGTGGGAGCGAGGATGGATGGAGTCCGCGAAGTGGGGCTTGCCTGCCCTTGCTGGCTGCCTCTGCTTCCTTAGGGGCGGGGAAGGGGGCTCATCTGGACCAAGGGTGAGTCTCCCCCTCAGTTTCCCCTGAAGGATCTTCCGTGGCTTTTGCCTTCTCCCTACGCCTTCCCTCTGTTAAAATCCCCCCCCCACACACACACACTTATTTTCGGGTGGATAGATTTCGTGTCTGAGCATTCTCACATGATGGTGGGTCTTCCCCCCCACTAAAAACAGTTAAAAAAAGAAAAAACAATATATCCTCATGCAAGAACTTTTCTGCTTCCGATTACCCCCATGCTTATAAGTTGCAAAGGAAACATGGAAGCAGGGAAGCGGCTGCCCAGCTCCGGAGCTCCACACCATTTTTTTTCCAGAGGGGAATCTCACTCGAGTATAAGCCGAGGGGGCTTTTTTCAGCACAAAAAATGTGCTGAAAAACTCAGCTTATACTCGAGTATATACGGTATTCTGTTTTGCAAAATAATGACATGCAAGCTTAGCTATGGCCAAAGCAAGTCATGTTTCATTCAATGGCGCTTACTGTCAGAGAGCTTTCAATAGGACTACAGTCTTCATCCTATTTTGTTTATGACTGCAACTTGCAGTTTCCATCATTTATAGCTTGCAACATAAATTAAGAAATGAGGAAAACTTTCTTATCCCCTTATCTCTACATAGTCACCTTTGCTTGCCCAACATTTAGATGGTGAAGCAGCAGAGATTATCCAGCTTTCAGAGAAGAAAACATCAGGGCATTTATAAAAGGAAACTTCCTCAGTTTAATTTTCCTGGGATCAGGAAAAGACCGGTTTGGGCAAACCCCTAGGTGTGACGATCAGTTGGCAGCAAACTGGTTCGCTGCCACGATCATGTGGGCCCGCCTGCCCGCCCCTGTGCTGTACTTACCTATATCCTCTCAGCTGATTCGCGCAGCAGAGCGGATTGCCGCTCTTCAGCTGAGTTACTCCCAGCAGTAACATAGCAGGTAATTTTTTTCTGGAATATATTCACCCACGTACGTGATCACCAAACTGGTTGTTACATCGGCAGCATCCCACCACTGCCTAGGATCCATGCCAGTGTCATTTAGCTTTTCCATTTACCTCAAAAATCTTAATAAGCACTTCACTATCTCAAATATGGAGAAAAGTGCTACAATGAATGTGCTTATACAGGTAGTTCTCAACTCACAGCAGTTCATTTAGTGACCATTCAAAGATACAACGGCATGGAAAAAAGTGATTTACTATTTTTCACATCTGCAGCCATTGCAACATCCCCATGGTCAGATGATCAAAATTCAGATGCTTGGCAACTGCTCATATTTATGACATTTGCAGTGTCCCAGGGCTACGGGATCACTTTTTGCGACCTTCTGACAAGCAAAATCAATGGGGAAGCCAGATTCACTTAACAACCATGTTACTGGAAACAACTGGAATGATTCCCTTAATAACTGTGGCAAGGAAGTTTGTAAAATAAAGCAAAACTCACTTAAAAATTTCTTAACAGAAATTTTGAACTCAATTGCGGTTGTAAGTCAAGCACTACCTATAATCATAATCATAATCCTGCCACAAAACCACCCCTTCATTGAAAGATTTAGTTCACTATTATGAGTTCTTTGTGGCTCATGGTATAAATTAGAACTGAGCAAAAAGAAGAGATAAAATCAGCATTACAAAGCTAACTACAATAGGGATCTAAACACAAATCTAAAGTTACCTTTCTTTTCATGAAATAGCATCTCAGAAATCCACTTCAGAATTGGGTTTATTAGCTAGACCTGTATTTGTCAAACCTAGCAACTTTAACATGTGTGGCATTCAATTATCACGCTGGCTAGGGGATTTTAGGAGTTAAAGTCCATGTATTATAAATTGTCATGTTTGAAAAACACTGAGATAAACTTTAATAAACCCCTGCTTACAAAAATAGCACTTTATACTACTGTACCAGTGTCTGTAATTCAGATCATCAGTCCTTAATTTAAATCTAATTAAAACTAGGCCAGCATGCATTCCACAGTATGAAACACTTTTTGAAATAGTTTTGTCCATATCGCACAGAAAAATTGCCTACTGAATTTTGAAAAGTAAAAGCTTACATCTAATAACCAGAGTAATTATCATAAATACAATTGGTCCTATTTTTTTTTAACTCCAAGTGTTTGAAAAAGCTGTTTACAAGGAACTCACCTGATTTGAATACACAGATAAATGAGAGGACTAGAATACAGTAATCGACTAAAGCAGGTTTCATGTTTTACTGTACAAAAAGGAAAGAAGCAAAAGATTCAATACATTTAAGCCATAAATATTTGATATTTTTCTGTTTTCAATTCTTATCATTTACAAGAAATCTTGCTGTTTCCCTCCAGTCCTTCCACACACTCACACATCCCCACAAAATGCCAGTATAGTACTGTACAGTAAAACAGAATTAAATAAATCATCTCTGGATAATTTATTTTATCAGGCAACTTAAAGGGTTTTTTTTAATATTTTTTTCCATTTATTGAATTTATTCAAGATTACAAAAAATAAACAAAAAGAAATTAAAAAAAAGATAAACAAAAAGAGATGCAAATTAAAGACCACTAATACCTGAGAAATAAAATTAAACAGAACTAAAATATAGGAAGAAAAAAGATACACACCCCTCAAATTTAAAAATCAGAATAAAGATTGCCAATAGTAAATACATTGTATATGTACAGGTGTGCACATGGATGTGTATTAGTAATAATTAGTTTACAAAAAAGTATTTTCTAACAGTACCTTGCTATTAACAAGAAAGAAAGAAATAATTTAAATATACTACTTTATTGTTGAACTATAAACATGAAATCCATGCCAAAGAAAAACCATCACATTAAAACACTATATATGAAAAGATATGACATGAAAGAATCTTGGAATCAGCCATTAGTTATCTGTCCCCAAAACAACCATCTCAGAATCTTCCTAGGCAAAATTGTATCTTGGAATCTTAAGTCAGCTACTGCTTTAATTTGGCTGATAAATAAGGACAGTTACAGCTCATTTTTATTTATTTATAAATAATAATTTATATTCTTTTGCACAATATTCTAATTTTTTGAGTTTTACACACACAAACACACACACACACACATATATATGCGAAACTCAAAAAATTAGAATATTGTGCAAAAGTTCATTTATTCCAGCAATGCAACTTAAAAGTTGAAACTAATATATGAGATAGACTTATTACATGCAAAGCAAGATAGTTCAAGCCATGATTTGTCATAATTGCGATGATTATGGCTTATAGCTCATGAAAACCCCAAACCCACAATCTCAGAAAATTAGAATATTACATGCAATCAATAAAACAAGGATTGTACATAGAACAGTATCAGACCTCTGAAAAGTATAAGCATGCATATGTACTCAGTACTAGGTTTGGGCCCCGTTTGAAGCAATTACTGAAGTGCTCCAAAATCTCCTGGTAGATGGCTGCATTGACCCTGGACTTAATGAAGCACAGTGGACCAACACCAGCAGATGACATGGCTCCCAAATCAACACAGACTGTGAAAACTTCACACTGGACTTCAAGCATCTTGCAGTGTGTGCCTCTCCATTCTTCCTCCAGACTCTGGGTCCTTGGTTTCCAAATGAGATGTAAAAGTTGCTCCCAGCAGAAAAGAGGACCACTGAGCAACAGACCAGTTCTGTTTTTCTTTCGCCCAGGTAAGACGCTTCTGACGTTGTTTGTTGTTCAGGAGCGGCTTGACAAGAGGAATACAACATTTGGATCCATCTGTGTGTGGTGGCTCTTGATGCACTGACTCCAGCCTCAGTCCAATCCTCTCCAGGCTGTGGTCATCCCTGCTGCTTGTGCACCTTTTTCTTCCACACTTTTCCCTTCCACATAACTTTTTATTAATGTGCTTTGATACAGCACTTTGGGAACATCCAACTTCTTTTGCAATTATCTTTTGAGGCTTTCCCTCCTTATGGAAAGTGTCAATGATGGTTTTCTGCACAACTGTCAGGTCAGCAGTTTTTCCCATGATTGTGATTCCTACTGAACCAGACTGAGAGACCATTTAAAGGCTCATGAATCCTTTGCAGGTATTATGGCTTAATTAGCTGATTAGAGTGGGACACTTTGAACCTAGAATATTGAACCTTTTCACAATATTCTAACTTTCTGAGATTGTGGATTTGGGGTTTTCATGAGCTGTAAACTATAATCATCTCAATTATGACACATCATGGCTTGAACTATCTTGCTTTGCATGTAATGAGTCTATCTCATATATTAGTTTCACTTTTTAAGTTGCATTATTGAAATAATGAACTTTTGCACAATATTCTAATTTTTTGAGTTACACACACACACACACACATATATATTTGTTTTCGTAGATTTTCAGGGGTACAGGTATGCAGGTCTTGGCGTGTTCGGGTCTTTTCCCGTGTAAGATTGAGAGCATCTTGGGAACGTTTTGACGATGCCCCACTCGCCATCTTCAGGTTAGTACTTTCACCTTCATGCTTGTGTGTGTGTGTGTGTGTATCTATCTATCTATCTATCTATCTATCTATCTATCTATCTATCTATCTATC